TACTATTCCAAAAACAAAGATCCAAAAAACAAGACAAAGGGTAAAAACACAAGTTAATCCACAAAGCAAAGCACCAGCTAAAACAGTGAAACAGAAAACAATACTGCCACAAAAACATACACTCACAGAACATGGTATAAAAAGGGGAACTAACATGACTAATGAGACACAGCTGGAGACAATGGCTGCGTCCGAAACCGCCTACTCAATGAGTAGGTACTTACTTAACGAGCGCTAAAAGAGTAGGTACTCTACAGCCAAATCTCGTTAAGTATGAATGAGATCCGGACTTCATCCGCCATGTTGACGTTATCATGTGACCTATGACGTTACAAGCGCAACAACTTAAAAGATATGAGCGACAGGTTTAATTCATCTATCTGTAAATATTTTGATGTTGATGAAATTTGCTCATTTTGTGGTCTTAAGAAACAGCTGCCCTTTTATTGTGATTGAAGTACAACCAAAAAATATAAAGTTTTTATATTTTTAACCCTACTAATATGACCCACAGTTTTATCCTTAAATATATTATATTTTATTATGAAAACCCCAAATTGTTGTCTTTTCAATATGTTAATTTCTTTATTTTATGTTCAAAATCTTTCATCCACAAGCAAAACCAGCTTAAATCTTCGTTTTCCTCTTTTTCTTGTTGAATTTAACTCTTTGTTTCATCCCTCAGGCTTATAAATAGCAACATTAACAACAATTGTGCCTTACTATGTACTCAAACCCATTATATTTATGTTTTATATTATGATTGTTCATCAGGGCCATGCAGAGACCTTTGGAGGGGCAGGTGCTCAAAGTATAAAAGGGGCACATGGAGCACAGCTTTTAATAGAGCTGTGCTCCTTGCTGAGACATGTATCGAAACGGATGCTTCTGTATTGATAGCAGCAAATGCCGTGACGCAGTTTTGAAAAAGAAACACAGAACAGAAAAGACCATTTTATAGTTTAAAAGTTAAATAAATATTTCTTTGCACCTCTTAATCACTCTTAAAATAGAAATGGAATTAAATTAGGCCTATTATTATTATTGAGTTTACAGGGTATGGTGGTTTTGCTGTTGTAAACACTAGGCTACTGTTATTTTTATATTTCTGTCTTATTTAAAATAGAATTGTATTATAATCCTGTTCTGAATTTATTCATTTTTTTAATTATAATGATGATAAAAACAGGATTGATAAGTAGCCTATAAATCAGAGGATGAGAAAATCAGTATAAGCCTGTTTTATCAGGGTTGTGATAATTATTTTTAAGGCACTCTATGTTTTTAAAATAAATACTGTAATAAAAAAAGTTCAAAGTAATAGTTTTTTAGTCAGATAACATGGACAAGACCCCTCGACGCCCTTTAAATGTTTCCCAATCAAACAGCAAGAACTAAAGAGAACAGTCACCTTTGTTTATATTGCTGTGTGTAGAACGTTAGCTGCATTTTTAATATTTAATTTTAAAGAAATGTAATTTCGTCCCCCGCACTTTATTCGGGCAGGTGTGTTCACGTAGAGGTTTCTAGATTTAAATTCAAAGAGACAGTATCGATAGTCTATGTATGGCCTGACGTTTTATTCGTATCCAAAATGAGAAGTGAATATCTGGATGCAGTGTATGTTTAATTCATACTCGAGCCGGAGGGCGCTCACGTGCAGAAAGTCCAAAACAGACTCATAGAAGGAATGACTTATGACGTGCAGGAAACCCTAATATGGACAAAAGCATCCGGCTATCGCTGTAGCTGAGCTGAATAAAAAGCAGAAAAAAACATGAAGACAATAAACACACGATTGCGAAAATATACGGTTTATGTGTGTTTTTCAAGTTATCTCCAGGTAATAAATAAACTTTATGAATAATGCAGTACTGATTGACGAGTGGTTTAATTCAGTGAATCTCAGCTTGTTTGACTTCAAAGTCCCCTTTGTCCAAGAAAATATTTGAAGGCCTTTTCATCTAAGCTGACATGTACTTCTGGTACTTCTACTGTAATAAAAATATACAAAATCATAAATATTATGTATTATTGATGTATTATATGGATGATTATTATTATTAATATTATTATTATTATGTTAATTAAGATTTTTGAGATGGTTGAGAACCACTGATCTAAATCACTTTTATAATATCAAAATGTGTACCTTTTAAGCTGGTTTTAGCTGTTAATTAAGATTTTTTAATAGAACTATATGTAAATAATTTTAACACTTATTGAGGACCACCTGGAAGTTTACAGTGTGTACCATGGTCTCCTGGTTGAGAACCACTGATCTAAATCACTTTTGTAATATCAAAATGTGTACCTTTTAAGCTGGTTTTAGCTGGTCAAAAAAAAAACATCACTGTAAAAATAATTAATAAATAAATAAATAAAATATTTTGTAGGGAGAGAGAGGAGAACAAGGACCGCCTGGCAAGGGTGAACGTGGTGAGACAGGTCCAGCAGGACACAAGGTAAGATGAGCAGTAAATAGGTGCAGTGGTCGTCTGAGGAAGAGAAAAGTCATTAATGTTGAGAAAAGTCTCAATGTCACAATGAGCAGATAATGTCCAGTATGCCGCACAGCTATGTATACACTTTTTAAAAAAAATTAAGGGAACACTTAAATCACACACTGGATTAGAGGTCGACCGATTGATCGGCCGGCTGATTGTGCTGCAAATTAGGCCGATTTATAGGCAGGCGCATCTGCGGGCAGCTAAGCGTTGTTGCGGAACGCCGGAGAATCTCTCTCTGGGCTGCGTGATTAAGCGTGATTTATACTTTCGCCTGGCTCCGCTCCGCGAGCCTCTGCTGACTGCGCGCGCACCTTCCCAAACTTTTATACTTGTCGCGTTCGCCGTTGTACTATTCTTTGAAACGACAGGGGGTGACGAGGAGTAATTTTCTTCTAAAACCATCAGGAATCACCGGTGAGAAGAAGTCATTTGCCGGTACCGGGTGTGCCTCACCCGTCCTGAAAAGTGAAGCTGCGGGCTCTTTGATCGCCCCCTGGTGGCTGGCTGCAGTACAGGTCATAAACCCCGCCCTCTCCATGAAAACGAATGGGACTTGAGTCAAAATAAAAAAATTAATTACGCTTCCAATACATTTTTCCAAAAGATGATTTTGGTCATTTAAGGTAGTTGGTATCACGCTGATATATGTTAAATTGTTTGTTTTTGTGATAAGTATGATTTTAGCTAGTAATTTGATGCTATAAAAACAGGGCATGTCGTTGTAGTTGATTGGGTCTGCGGGAGTTTGGGCGGAGTTTGATACCGCGGCTCCACCTCACGACATTACTGCGCAGACTCTGGCTCCAAACGAATCTCTACTGCACAGACTCGGGCTCCAAATGACGTCATTTACTTAAAAAAGAGATGATAACATGTCATTAAATAAGGGTAATTCAAATATATGAAACCTGACACCCTTAAACATGTTTCATTTATACATACCGGGCACTGCAGCAGTCAGCCGCATTAAACTGACAGGGCCGGTGTGAGCACTGAACAGTATAGAAGCAAAAGTTGACACTAACAGAAACTGGATAATGCAGACAACACCAAAGCAGAGCCAGTACGATGCGAAGCAGTGTAGAAGAAGCAAGGGGCTGAGAGGAACGGGATGCCGAGTAGGCAGTCCGACCAAACACCAGTCACAAACATTAACCAATTGACATCTCATACGGCTATAAATGGTACAGAAACGCTAACATTAGTACAACAAACCAATACAAAAAGACGCCAAACCACACTGCTGTAATGCTTACCTTTCCAATAGATGCACAAAATCAACCCTAAGCGAGCCGTGACTGAATTAGCCACAAAATACACATCAGTGTCGAACGCCAGTACCAGAGAGGGGCGGGGGCACTTGAGTGACACATCCGACTGACACAAATCAGCCCTTTATACACCCACCTATGCCTGCTGATAGGCTAACAATATTCTAACGTCAATATAGGGAGAATCTAACTACCCTGCCACAATCTTCCCCTGCTTTTTGTATCGTCACCCCGACGATGCAGTACAGAATACCCTATATGCACAAATCAACTCCAAGGCCTTAAAATGACCGAAATCCCACTTGAAACAGACTCGTGTGGGGGCAGAGCCTCACTAGTCGCCTCACCCACTGCCCGTGGGAGATGATGAATGTTAGAGTGCTGGCCTGCCATAGCTCTTGTTGTCCTTCTCAATGCGGCTGCATCAATAACAGGCAGGCCTGTGGACACAGTAACAGATACAGAAGGTGGACTCTACAGTCTACAGAGCACGATGGTCCTGAGGCTACCTGCACCCTTGTCACGGTCCCAGAGGGTGCCAACCCGCACTGCGGTACAGGCTCAGCCACTGAGATTGAATCTCTTAATGCCAGCCGAGATGGCATTGGGGGACTAACTTGAGGGACTTCAGGCACTAAAGCCAACAAATCACCCTCATCTAGCTCATCTTCAGAAGGTGGCGCTTTTTCGATCAAAGGGCTATCACGAGGGCTCTGAGCTGGAAAACCTCTCCGAATTCTAGTTTTCAACAGGGAATGGTGAACATGCCTTACCTTACCCGGTTCGTCAATCGGTGCAATCGTATATACAGCACCACAATCTTTAGTCGCTTTCACAACTCGGTACACCACTGGATCCCACAAATCCTGGATTTTGTGGTGACCTCTCATTCCACACTCACGTAGGTAACCAATTGGCCCTCCTCCAGTGGTGTACACTGCACATTCTGATCATAATGTGCCTTACGTCGTTCTGTGACGACCCTTAAACGCTCACGTGCACTTTCAAATGCCACCTGGAGCCTAGTTTGATGTTCCAAAATCCAATCATGGACATTACCTGCCACCGCCTCCTGAACTCCCTCCAGCAAAAAGTGAACTGGGAGCCGCGGTTCTTGTCCAAACATCAAATAATATGGGGACTCCCCAGTCGCTTGATGCGGGGTGGCGTTATAACAAAAGAGTACCTGTGGAAGACAAGACACCCAGTCTCTCTTTCTAGAAACAGGCAAAGTGCGGAGGAGGTTACGCAAAGTCCAATTGAAGCGCTCGCACTGGCCGTTTCCGGCCGGATGGTAGGGAGTAGTGCGAGACTTCTCAACCTTATAGAGGTGACAGAGCTGCTGGATAAGGGAGGATTCAAAGTTGCGGCCCTGGTCAGAATGAATCCGACCAGGAACCCCAAACTTATAGAACCATTCCACAACAAGAACCTGGGCCACAGTCTCGGCACGTTGGTCCCGTGTAGGGACAGCCAGGGTGTATTTAGTAAAAACATCAGTCATTACTAAAATATTTTCAATGCCTGAACGAGAAGGTTCAAGCATAGTAAAATCAATAGCTAAAATCTCATTTGGCCTCGAAGCCAACAGATGGCCCATGAAACTACAGGCAACGGGCTGAACATCTTTAGCAGACTGACACCTTTCATACTCCTGGCACCAACGGGCCACTTCAGAACACATACCCGGCCAATAACATCGTTGCCATACCAACTTAGTGGTTCGCTCGATACCCTGGTGTCCATGCTCCTGATGAAGCTGTGTCAGAACCTCAGCTTTCAAGATGGTGGGCAAAATCAATATATACTTTATCTCAAAATCAAAAGCAGCAAGTTGTGCTGCCCAACATTGTTCAGTAGCCCCAAGCTTTGCTGACGCAAGATGACTAAGGGGGTTGTTATCAGTGAAGACTACACATTTGTGCCCTAGCAAATATTTCCGAAACTTCTCAGTCATGGCCCACTTAAGCGCCAAGAACTCTAACTTCATAGAGCTATAATTGGACATATTGCGCTCAGTGGGCCTAAGACTGCGACTGGCATAGGCAATAGGCCGCACCTTTCCTCATTGTTCTTGGGAAAGAACGGCCCCTAAGCCACTATAGCTAGCGTCGACCTCTAGAATGAAAGGTGAGGAGAAGTCAGCATAAGCGAGAACAGGAGCAGAGGTAAGTTTACTCTTTAATGCCTCGAAACTACTCTGACAATGTTACGTTCAGGCACCACCAAAACTCTGTCCCCTACATTTCTTTAACTTGCCTCCTGCCAGTTCTGCCAACTTGGCAAACCCCTCCACAAAATGGCGGTAAGCCTAGAAAAGAGCGCAACTCCGAAACGCTATTTGGAGTACGCCACTGGGCCACTACTTCAACCTTGCTTGGGTCTGTAGCAACACCTTGAGGTGACACGAAATGGTCTTAATACTTTACCTCGCGTTGAAAGAATGCACACTTCCCTAACTTGGCTTCAAGTCCCTCAATCCCTAATCGACCCAAGACCACTTCCAGCCATTCTAAATGTTGGGCCACGGAGGAAGAGAACACCACAATGTCGTCCAGATACAACAACAAGGACTGACATTGTTGGTCACCAAACAACCTAGTACCTCAAGTAGTATGAGCACCCACCATAGCAGTGACTGACCTCACTTCACTAACACCTTCAGGCAAACTAATAACAAAAACACCGTTCAGGGTACCTAAAGATGTCCTAGGGTAAAGTGCAACCTCAGTAACACGCACATTCACCATGGGTATATAAACTGTGCCCCGGGTCACTTGGACCAGTGCAGGGGAAGCCAGCAACCCAGCAGGCAAACCCGCCTCAGGCGGCTCAAACAACACAGTACCACTAGAATAACACTCTGAACAGTTTGCTGCTACGAGCTTCATCGTGCCCCCCGGAATGCGACACGCCCCCGCACTCTAACTGCACCAGCACGATCAACAGAATTCTGAGTATTAACTTGATGACAATGCTGCAATTCATGCATTATGGAACTAGGGGCCTGTGACACCGCAGGTAAATCAAAAAGAGCTACACCGTGTCGTGGTGTACAAAAAGATGATAAACCACGCTGCTGTAATGCTTACCTTTCCAATAGACGCACAAAATCAACCCTAAGAGAGCCGTGACTGAATTAGCCACACCGCTAACAAACACACATCAGTGTTGAACGCCAGTACCAGAAAGGGACAGGGGCACCTGAGTGACACATCCGACTGACACAAATCAGCCCTTTATACACCCACATATGCCTGTTGATAGGCTAACAATATTCTAACGTCAATACAGGGAGGATCTAACCAACCTGCCACACCTGCATAGTGATTGAACGTGTCTAATTAGAATGACTACCTGTTACTTATAAAGAGTTGTACCTCAGTTCACGTAATTTGTGCCTGACGAAGACCTGATGGTCGAAACGTTGCAATAAATTATTCTTATGGAGCAGTTATATCAGTGTGCGGACAATACGTTTGTATTTTTGCTATAGATTTGAATTTTTGACAGTTGGAGTTTAATGGAATGTTCAGACTTTTCAATGTAAGTCTATGGGAGTTTTTCTGAGTTTTGATCGTCATTTTTAAGAAAACCGTAAGTCGGATCAGTTAGAAAAGATATAGCAACTCAAGTCAGAACAGTCTGAAGGTCTGAGCCGAGTTTTTTGGTGATTGTAGCTTT